GTGTGTGTGTGTGTCCGACAAGAAATTCATAACTCCTGTTCCCGTGTACCTGGAGCTTTTAAATTTGGTAGGAGCACAGGCAGCAGGATGGAAACACTTGTAATAGGAGGCAAGACCAGATCCCGCCCTCAATGGGCGGTGGGTTTGAGCGAAAATTCATAACTACCCTTCCCGTGCATCTGGAGCATTCAAATTGGTAGGGGTACAGGAGGCAGGATAGGAACACGTGGGTGGGAGGGCCGGACTCCGCCTACAGTGGGCATTGTTTCTTCAAAATAAATGCTCGAGCGAGATTTCGTAACTCCTTTTCCCGTGGTCCTAGAGCGTTTAAATTTGGTAAAGTGCAGGCGCCGGGTCAACTTCAACACAAGAAGGGGGAGAGCGCGGCATAGCCGGGCAATCCGACCGGTAATACTATATATATACGATGTAGGAGTTTGCAGTTTATCTATGTTTATACTATTTTTACACTGTAAATATATACTATATAAGGTATAGCTTGAAGTATATACCACATATGAAGGCATACATATTGTGTATAAATGTTGATGTAAATTATACTACAGAATATTTTATTTGGTATAAATATCTATACTGTTTATTTATTTTTTATCTATAATATACACTATATACGAGGCACTATATATGATATCTATACTGTTTATTTATTTTTTATCTATAATATACACTATATATACACTATATATAATATACACTATGTTACCATATATTCATCATTATACCTTATAGATACTAGTATACTATATAGGTGTACTATATTCTCTATTTTCTCTGCAAGTTGCTCCATGCCGGTGAGAATCTTTTTACTGATTCTGACGCGAATTCTCAGGTAGAACTTGTGAGGACAGCATTTAGTCTAAAATTTTGCGTTTCACTCCTTCCATATATCTGGAGACGAAGTAACCGTTTGGTCTCCCTATTACTTCGTGACGTGGTGATCACATATATCAGTTCTGAAGAGCGGTTCAACCGACGTTCCCTATGGCAAGGAGCCCATGACCCTTCCCTTCTCATGGAAACTATGGCAATTTATCTTGCTCTACAAATGCATACGTATAGTTCCAGGGAGCAACTCCACAATATATGATAATAATTGAAAAAATGGTTCTCCTTTCCGATCGAAGATTAGTTTACAAAATGAGTTATGTGAAAGCTGAAAAAACTGACTGAAAGTTTTACATTTGTTATGGCAATCCCACATATGAAGCTCCCTTACCTAATTTTCCATTAAGCTCCCCTGTTTACTCGCAGGCTCTGATTTTTTGTAAGTCACTCAATTACAACAAAGTGAATGTTTTTTCTACTATTGCTATCTAGGCAATTTATCCTGCCCTTACATCATTCGCAGAAATTTCCATAAATTATGTGTGCCTGATTAGAACTCTTTAGAGACATTCGCTCTCCAATAATACCATTTTCGAGATTTCCAATTTGATTTCTGTCCGAATAGAGTTCTAGATGGTAATTGCAATTGTGGAGTTAGGGTGCTTAATGCAACCATTAGTTGGCTAGCTGCCAATTTGAAAAGTTGAATTCCATGCCGACTTTGAAAAGAGACTTTACAAAAACTTGGGGTTGAATCAAGCTTTAATGTGTATGAAAGAGTCACAAGAACGTTCCTTTTAGTGTGTGGGCTCGTTCTGGGTATTACAATTGCTATAGAGCTGCTCATGCCTCACTTCGGTCTTCAGCTCAACCTATCTATTCCCTCATGCTCGTCTTCATTGCGAGAAAGTAACAACCTTTAATCATTAATAATTACCTGTATGTCCATTATTAGTTACGTTAACGGGGCCAGTTTGATCGTAATGAACAAAATGCATTCGATGCAGCAGTGCATAGTCGACTTCAGATGCACGAATATCGATTGGACTCTGGAACGAACGAAAATTACGTTTACCTTCCTTTCACAAAAGTTTGTGGAAGGTCCTCTGAGAAAGCTCTTGAGAGTACCTTTGATGAAAGAAGCGGTACGTTTATTCTCTTCAAGAAACCGAGGAAAGCACGACGAAATGATCATAGTCACCGTCCCACTCACCTAGACTGGCCTCACTTTGGTCGATCACTTGTAATCAAATTTCCGTCACCCTTCCAGTAAGGGGTGGGTATGGTACTCGAAGTCTGGGCTTTGTAATAATAGAACATCGTCTCCATCCAGGACAAACAGGGCTTTCTTCAGTTGAATCTGTATCTCCCCGTAAGTATTGTGAAAAGGAAATTAATTTAACTCACTCCCTTTTCGCAGTATGAATAGCCTACTTTTTTTTGCGCCACACTGACATTGTAACGAAAAATATTATGAAAAATAACTGGAAGCTAGTGATTTCTTGCTCCCTGTAGGAAAAACCGAAAGCCTGAACTAGATTCTTAAATTTTATTATTCAGTATCTCCTCTTGCGATAAATCCACTCTTCACTGAGCCCGTCAGGTGTTAAGTGCGCTTCGAAATTCTGAACTTGATTCATGGCATCCTATGGGCCACTTTACAACGAAAGCATACAATAATTATGCCAGAATTTCCTTAACATATAATCATGAACTCTTTTCAAGAGCAAGGGTGAAGCCGAAAATTTGCAGCGAAACGTAGCGTTGGGTTTAGCGCTGTTGCAAATTTGATCTGAATAATTTTCGCAATGACGTAGGAACCCGCAGAGGCAAATCATCGCCGAGTATATCTTTTTTGGGTGACGGATGCCTAATCAGAGTTGAGTGTTTTCTTGGAATCACCTAATGTTCTACTTCGACTCCTTTGATGGGGCGCTTAGGCTGTACACTGCCATGCAGATAACATCAACTTCATGGTTATCCGCATACCAACCCATCCAGAGAAATGAATAGCTGTGTTGGCTGGTCGAGATTGGTACATAGTTACCCAATATTCGAAGCAATGTATTCCTTTGCTGATTAATAGATGAAGTTTTTGGAGTTAATTGATCCCCTTTTCAAGATACGTTCCCCAAATCGATTCCCATTCAGAATCCTAGTGCCTTTGCATGCGTTCGAGCCCTATACATTGGTTTTAGGTGTGCCGATGTGCCTTTAAGATTTTTTATCCACCTGGATGAGTCGAAACTGGTACCAATTACCTAGCCGTGGAGGGATGGAAGGCTCAGTTGGTTTAGGCAGGCACTAATTCGAGATTCGATCCCCGAACCCCACTGCAGTAATCCAGAAGAGAGCCGTTGGGTAATGAGAATCCCTTACGTATTTCTTACGAATTCAGGCCTTAGGAGAGAGGTTCTTCAGTCCCCAAACAGATGACAGGGTGAAAGGAGAGGTAGAAATTCTATCGCTCTGCAGAATGGAGCCAGCTGAATCAGCTACCTGTTCGAATAGCGATTTTGAGGCAAACTCACATCAATGGCGTGCAATGACAAAGGTTCCACTATTTGGACAACAATCATCATGAAACTTGGAAAAAATGAGTTTTCGAAATGATAGGAATCATTCAGGCCACGCAGTTGAGCAGCGTTCCCTTTACCAATAAACAACCAAAAAACCAGTTAAGGATGTCTTGATTGAGGAAGAAAGTAGGGCCCCAGTTGAGTAAATTAAGCAAACCTCTGTGAGGTAAGTATACTTCAAATAATATAAAGGATTGAGATTGCCCAAGGGGTAAAAGAGCTGGCAATCAAACCTTTAGATTTTTGAAGCGATGTTGGCCGATCATTAAGAATGGTTATTCTCATTAGGTGGTCGAAATTTGTAGCTACCTGATGAGTTAAGTAACATACTACTTGACAGATGGTAGGATTAAGTTTTGGGGCGTTTATTGATCCCATCTGAGGGATACGATCATGCGTACGATTCCATTCAGAATCGTAGTGGCGATTTAAATGCATGTTTGGCCGATACAATGAC